CAACCCTGCCCCCGCCCCACGTGCTAACATGGGCAACCCAGAGCCAGGCCCGAGCCCCACTCCCTGGGAGCGGGGACACAGCAGGGGGCTCCACGCCTACTGCACAGCCGGGGGAGAGCCTCAGAATGGACACTCAGCCCCCACACAGCACGCGTTTAGGGCTGCAGCGATAAGCAAAGGAAACCTTTCCAGAAAGCTCTAAATGGCCCAGTGCTCAGTGGGGCAAGGCCAGAGCTGTGGCACCTGCTACCAGGATATCCTGCCCACCTGGCTCAGCACCTTGTGGCCTGTGGGTGTGGGTGCTCTACTAACACCCGCTTTTCATACAGCCCCCAGGGACGGGTGGAAGGTGTAGCGGTGTGCGGCTCAGCGGCATTCAGTGCGTCACCGTGGGGTGGCTGTCCTCACCGTCCCCCTCCGGAACGCGCTCCATCTTGGGAACGGAAGCTCTTGCCTGCGCTCACTCCCCACGGCCCGCCCTCCGCCCCTGGCCACCGCCCCCACCTCTCCCTCCATGAACCAGGCTGTTCTAGGAGCCTCGAAGACACGCCATCCGTAGGGTTGCGCTTTTGTGACTGGCTCACCTCACTGAGCGCTCCGTCCTCCAGGCTCATCCATGGCTCGGCAGGTGTGGGGCATCCTTCCTTTTTCAAGGCTGAGTAATATTCCACGGTGTGTCTACCTGTTTTTAATTATTTTGTGTACCCAGAAGTGGAATTGAGGGATCCCATAATTTTAATTTTTGAGTAAATGTCATACTGTTTTGGGAAACGGAGACATTGTTTTACATTCTCACCAGCAGGGCGCCGGGGTTCCAATTTCTCCATATCCTGGCCGACACTTGTCGTTTGTGTTTTACTAATGGCTCTCCAAAGGGGTCCGGAGCGGCACTTTCTGTGGTTTAGAGTTGCATTCCCCTCTTAGTGATGCGCAGGACCTTTTCATGTGCTGGTCAGTCACGTGTGTATCATCTTGGAGAAGCAAGATGTCAGTCGGTCCTTTGTCCATTACATCGGGTTCCTATGGTTGAGATGGAGGTTGTCTTCCTGTATTCCGGATAGTAATCTCTTATTAGATTTATGACTTGCAAATATTTACTCCGTTTCGTGGGCTGCCTTCCCCCTGTGGTGTCCGTCGCTGCACTCAAGCTGAAGCTCATGTTCCTGGCGTCCTGCCCAATGATCCGCTGTTGTGAAGCCTTCTGCTGTGTTTCTTTCCAACAGGTAAGGTGTTTACGTTAGCATTGAAATAATGAGCACTTTAAACCATCATTTCTGGGACGTTTTATGTTATTTTAAAAGATTTTTAATATTGAAGATATTTAAAGTTTAAATACAGTAGGCAAGACTTGAGAGATTTAGAGTTTATCTTGTGGTTGGCACCAAGTGACTGACATCTGGAACGGATCCCTAAGCTGAACTGCATCCTGAAACATCCCATGGCTCTGCTACATGTTCACACCAGCCCCGACGAGGCTCCTTTCAAGTCAGACAAGGGCAGGACACTTCACGCCCTAGGGCAGCGTGTATACAAGGCCGGGAACACCCGGGAGGCGTCCACGGATGTGCTTTGGGTCCCACAGACTGATCAGTGGGCCTTGTTATTAAGATTGGAACCCTGGGTATGATTAACCTGGCTAGAGGGCTCACCCTCCCTAAAGTTCTAAATAATAATCCTATTTCCAGTTTGTCCCACCCTTTTCTCTGTGTTCTGTCACTAAAAAGGCCAGGATCTGCTCTCTGGGAGCATCCTGCACGCTCAGCCTGCTCAGTCCCGTCGCTGATGCGCCGCATACCTGCTGCTCTGCGCAGTCACTGATGAAAGGGACGCTTGTTAAAAGGAAGGCAGGCTCCAGTGAGGGACAAGCGTGATAGGTTGGGGCCACCGCAATGGGGCACTGAAGTAGGAAGAGACTGGCTCAGCTCTGAGTAGAAGGGAAAACAGGGGTGATAGGCAAGGAGCAGGGGGCAGGGGTTAACAGGGAGCTCAGTGGATGGACATTGGTAAGGGAGACTCTGGCTGACAGGCCCAGCAGGATTCTGACAGGAGGCAGGCAGGGTGGTCAGAATGGGGTGGATCAGGAGCCCTGTCAGCTGTGGAGGGGACAGAAACCCAGGCTGCGGGACTCCAGCTGAGCCCACTTGCCAGAATTCTTGCTAAAAGCGGACAGTGGCGAGCTGAATGTGGAAGCATGGGGGAGTTCGGCAAGGCCTGAGTGGGTCTGGCCGATGTACCTGACCAGCTTAGGCGCAGACATCCCCACCGGATGGCACCTGTTGCCCGGCCGGCTGAGCAGCCCTAAGCACCGAGGACAGGACGCTGAGCCTGAGACAGGGCGGGCCACTGACGCCCAGCTGCGCAGCAGCAAGTGTTTTCTTTTTTAAGAAAAAAAAAAAATTTACTTATTTATACAAGCACTGGGTACAGTCAGAAGTGCGGGAGGGTGAGAGAATTCACCAGAGCCAGAGCGGGGAGCAGAGCAGGCAGACTGATGACATACACTGCTGAGGGGAGCAGCAGGTGGCAGGAGAGGTCTGCACGCCATGTGGGACCCTCGCCAGCGCCCGGGGATCGAACTGGCGCTGCAGAGGCTGCGGGCAGCTGGGCAGCCCAGCACTCAACCGCTGCACCACCAGGGAGGCCCATCAACAAGTGTTTTTGAGGAGCAGCAGCGGCTCAGGCCCACGATACCTTGTTCTTCATTCTGGAGCGCCAGAAGTTCTAAGAATCACAAGCGCCCCTCTAATTTTGGAGCAATCTCATCTGGACAAATGGGAGACTGACGGAGCCACTGCACACCCCACTTGGAGGCGATGCTTGCGAGCCTTCATTCTTGCTGCTGAAACGCTGTGCCTGATGGTGGGGTGCACCCTGGGCCTGCTGGCGCTGTTCCCTACAGAACACACCACCCTTTCCGCCAACGCCCAAGCCATCCCGAATTCCTGAAACCCGTCAGCCGTGAGTACCTCACCCTTCCTTGGGGATCAAGGTGACCCGCATCACGGTGTCAGCGCTGGGCGCTCAGCATCACGACAGGTGCATTTTGCAAAATGGCCACAAGAGCAGCAATTCCGCTCCGGCCCGGCAGGCTGCGGGGAGAGCTCTGCGGCCGCTGGAGTGTCCAGGTCACCGCGGCCCGCGCGGCCCACGCCAGCTCCGGTTTGATCGCCCCGCACCGGAGCAGGGCCCGAGGCGGCCGCGGCACCGTCGTCCTGGGCGCACCAGCAGGGGCGGCCCGGCCCGCCGTCCACCCGCCCGCGCCGTCCACCCGCCCGCGCCGTCCACCCGCCCGCGCCGTCCACCCGCCCGCGCCGGGCGCCCGACTCGCAACTGCCCGTCGCTGGCCGCAGCAGGACGGGGCCGGGCCGAGCCCACGGGGCGGGGGGGCGGGCAGCGCGGCGCGGCGGCCGAGGGCAGGTCCTCGCGGGAACCCGGCAGAGGGGGCGGGGGCGGGCGCGGCCGGGCGCGGCCAGAGCGGGCGCCCCGCCGCGGCCCCCAAATCCAGTCCGCCCCGATCCTCCCGCCCCGGTCCTCCCGCCGCGGTGCTCCCGGCCAGCCCGGCTGCGCCGCCCCAGGGCCCGCCCGCCCCGCCCCGAGAGGCCCGGTCGCCGCGGCGCCCCCGGCCCACACCCGCGCCTCCTCCCGGCCGGGCCGCGGTACCCCGCGCGGGTCCAGCGGCCCCGGCCGGTCTCAGGCCGGCGGGAAGCGAGGCCGTTGGCCGGACTACAACTCCCAGAGACCCCCGGCCCCGCGCGAGCGGATTGGCCGGCCGCGCCGTCCGTCACTAACAGCCACCGGAAGCGCCGCGGCGGCGGCTCGGCCGCCAGCCGGAGAGGAGGCGGCGCCCCTTCAGCCGCCCCGGGTCGGCGTCCCCGAGCGGCGGCGCGCGGAGTGGGCTGTGCGCCCGCGGCCGGCCCGGTGCTCGGCGGCAGGACGGGCTGCCCCGGCGCGGGGAGCAGGGGGCGGGGATACCTCTCCGCACTGGACTCTGGTCTCCGCTGCTCCTGCCTGCGGCCCGCGCGCCGCAGCTCGCGCGCCCCGCCCCCGCCGCTCATTGGCTCCCGCGGGGCGCGGGGCGGGGCGCGGGGCGCGGGCGGGGCGCGGGCGGGGCGGGGCGCGGGGCGGGGCGCGGGGCGGGGCGGGGCGCGGGGCGGGGCGGGGCGCGGGGCGCGGCGGCGCCTCGGGCGGGGATGAGGGCCCGCGGACTTGGACCTTCGGCCGCATGGACGCCCTGGCGCTGGGCTGGAGGCGGCGGCGGAGGCCGGAGGAGCTGCAGGTTCCGGGGGACGCGGTGAGTCCCCCGGGGCCTTGGCGTCAGGCCTGCGGAGGCGCCCCCCTGAGCGGCCTCCGGGCCTCGCGCCTGCCCGTGTGGAGACCCGGCGGGAGCGCGCCCGGGGGCGGGGCTGGCGGGAGCGCGCCCGGGGGCGGGGCCTGGGGGCGGGGCTCCCCGCGCTCCCTCGGCTGCGCCTGCGCAGAGCTGAGCGGCTCCCCTGCGCCGCCCGCGACGGCGCGTCCAGCCCCGACCGCCCGCCGCGAGCGCGGGAATCCCCGCCGGCCCGGACCCCCGCGCCGCTGCCCGAGGCTCCCTGCGGGGCGGGGGGGCGGGGCGCGCTCCTCGGCCGGCGGGACCGCGGCGGGGCCCCGAGCCCTGCCCCCCGCCCGCCGCGCCGCGCGCCTCAGGCGCCGCTCGGGCCCGGGGCGCCTCCGGGGGCGGGGCGGGGGGCGGGGGCGGGGCGGGCTCGGGGCCCCGGCAGCTTCCGGCGCGTCCCGGCGCGGGCGTCCGTCCAGGCCGAGCGGGCCCGTCCCTGCTGCGGCTCCGCCCCGCCCCCCCCCGGGGCGCCCCCCCGCGAGCTCCCGGCCGGGCCGAGTCCTCGGAGGCGCGCGGCCCCCCGCGCGGGTGGAGCCGGGGCCGGCGGCCCGTCCCTCAGCGGAGCCCGCGCCGCGGCCCCCCCCCCGCCGCGCCGTCGCGGCCGCCGCTGGCTGCTCCTACGCTTGTAGGTTCCTCTTCCTGCAGTTCTGCCGGGTTTTGCTGCCTGTGCTTGGAAGCTCTGTTGTTGGGTGCGTGCGCGTGTGCGCGTCGTGTGCCCCCGGGAAGGGACCTTCTGAGAGCGAAGTCCCTTTTCATCCCGGGTGGGCCTCTGCTCTGGGCTCCATGGTCTGACACTACCCGGCAGCTCCAGCTTTCTTTTGCCTAATGGTAACATTGCATGTGGTTTGTTCTTCATCTCTCTGTGTTTTTCTTCGAAGGGAGCTTCTTGCAGGTGGCCTGTGATGGAGTCTGGGGTTTCCGGTGGGCTACTTCATCACACCAGGCTGACTTACTGATAGACTAAAATTCATCTTGTTTTGTATTTGTCCTATTCTTTACTCTCTCTCCTTTTTTTTTTTTTTTTTTTTTTTGGCTTCATGGGATATTTTTTATCTTCTTCGTGTCTTCGTAGGCTTTATGAGGCTTTTCCAGTTTTACTAATAGGAACAGGCAGTGTTCCAAGCCATACCTGGCACCACCGTCCCCGTTTCTGAGGCTGTCGGGTGGGTCCTCCCTGCCCGGGCTGCGCTTCGGGCCGACACCTCTGAGGGGCTGTGCTCCGGCCCCAGGCCACCCCGTACAGCTAGTAGCGCGATACAGCGAGTCCCGGGAATATTTCTGTTTCCCGGTGCTTATAGCAGCTGCAACGACGCTGCGCTGTAATCTGGCCCGTGCTCAGGGCGTGGCGTCGGAAGAAACGTGTCTTGATGAAGCGCGACGGGACTGCTGGTGAGCACGCCCTGTTGGGAATGGCCACGCGGCCGCACTGCCTGCAGGGCCCACGAACCTTCCTCTGGAGGCCGCCGCCGCCTGCAGAAGCGCAGCCCAGCCAGCTGCGCCCAGGGCGCCGGGCCCTGCCTCTCTGTTCTCTCTTTGCAGGGCCCTGCCCTGTGACCTCCCCACGCTCCGCTTGGTGTCCTTGACCCTGTGCCCCGCCGGGCGCTGCCTCCGCCCCTCCCTGCCGCAGCCTGGACACACGCCTGAGGGGGCCTCTTCGTGTCCTGTGCACAGGGGTCGTGGTCCCGTGTCACTTGGGGTCAGGGTCTCGAAATCTCTTGGGTCAGCCATTGAGTCTGGCTTGGCGGCTCGTGCGGGACGGTGGTCCCCACCGCCGCACCCCGGCCCGGAGAGCCATGCGGCTTATTGGCTCCAAGTCCAAGGACCCTGGAGGCGCGCGGGCCCTGCCACCCACGGGCGGGCGTCGCTGTTTGGTCTGCGTTGGTCGGTCCTTCCGGGGACCCGCCGCCGGCCACGTGCAGAGTGTTTCTGAATGTCCCCTGACTCGGGGAAGAACCTGCCCGGTCACCCCAAACAGGACATTCTTGGGGGGGCGGGGTAGGCTGTGCCTAAGAGCGGGCTTCTGAGCACCCGTGAGGACCCGGCCGCAGGTGCCCCCGAGGTGGCTTTGACCGGGGGTTCCTGAGTGCCCGGGCTGCGTCCTGCGGCGGCGGCGCTGTGAGCGGCAGCCTCCGGCTTCGAGGACATTCTCTGTGCGGTTCAACTTGTCGCTGAGTGTCTGACTGCGTCGTGCAGGCCGGTTCCGCCTGGCGCCCCCGCGGTCCTCTTGCCCGCTCCTGCGCACAGGTGCGCCTCGCCCAGAGGGCAGCCCCGGCTTTCCAAAGGCCACGTCGTTCTGAGCTGTAACCTGAGGCGTCTCGATGCTCTCTGGGCATCTAGAGGTGAGCCGTGAAGGCCAGTCCCCGCCTGCACCCATCCCTGGTCTTGCGAGTAACGGCCCGGGTTCGGGGCTGCCGTGTCTTCTGTGCGCTCCCTGCGGGTCCTCCCGGCCTACCTTTGCCAACACTCGAAAAATTACCCAGTAAAGCTGCTGGTCCTTGTCAGCAAAACCACTTAAATGCAGTGATGGCGTAAACTCCAGTCAGTCACCCCCCGGGGCCCAGCTCAGAAGGCGAGGAAATGCAGAGGGAAATTTGCTTGTCTCACCCGTAGGACGCAGGGGTCGTAGCTCATCTGCCGAGCGCGGGCCCCACCGTGCAGGCCTCACGGAGCCTCGCCGGCGAGGGCGCCCGGCCAGGCCTGTGCTAGGCCAGCCCTTCTCCCGCCAGGTGGCTGCGGCGCCCCCTCCAGGCGCAGGTGGGCGCTGTCACCGCTTTTAGCTTCCAAGTGACCTGCGGGGCCCTTTGGGCCCTGCTCCGCCCTCGGGCGCAGCCCGGCTGGACGAGGAGCGCCGCTGCCTGGAGCCGCGTCTCCTGCTCCTGTTCTCACTCGGTGCAGGGCTGTCCCTGCCCGCTCCCCAGAGCTGCCCGCTCCCCCCGCACACCGCGCCACGCGTGACAGAGAGGTCGGGAGGAGGCTGGGCCGGTCGGGAGCTGGTTTCTGAGGGTGGCCCGCGTGCCGGGCCCGCCTGTTGCCGCGAGCGCTGCGCCGGCTTTCCTGGCCCGGACCCTCCCTCGGTGGGGGTGGCTTCGGCTTTGGCCCAGCGGCTCCCGGGCAAAAACCAGCCCTTGGCGGCCTGTTCTTAGTTTCGCTGGAAGCGACTCCCTTCTGCCGCCGTCCCTGGCGCACTCACGGAACCCGGGCGGCTCTGACTTCGGCGCCGGCTCCTGCCCGCCCCCGTCGCGGCCCCGTCTGCCAGGCCCAGGCCCCGCGCGGTCCCCAGCGTGGCCGCCGGCCCCGGGCAGCGGGGGCCTTCTCGGGGTCGGGGCTGGCTCGAACCTGCATCACCACGCCGGATGCTCTGGCTCGAGGCCCCGAGTGAGGCTGGAGGCCCGACTCCCTGCCGGCTGACCTGGCCGGACCGCCCCTGCGCGGAAAGCAGGCCCGGGCAGCTCCAGAGAGAGGCGCCCTCTGGGCAGAGCCGCGGGGGGCGGGCGTTGGCCTCCTCGGTGTTTCTAGTGGGCGCCGAGGTCGTCTCTGTTTAAAAAAAGTATTCGAAAAGGTTTAGCCTTAAAGGTCGCAAAGAAGTAACAGAGTTCCCGGCCCCCTTCACGCAGTCTAGCGTGGACAGAGGCCCCCAGCCCCCCACGGCCAGCCCCCATGCCCCTCTCTGGCCTCTTGCAGGGCTGTCCCCCGAGTGGGGGCACAGCCCCAGGGCCGCGCTCCGGGAGTAGACCTGGGACAGGGGAGCGCCGCGGGGGTATGGCCCCTCCCCGAGCGCCATGGGGCGGCCGCAGGTCCCGGTGGGGTGCCTGGAGGGCGCTGTGGGGCTTCTCTGGGTCCTCGTACGTCTATCGTGGACTTCACGGTGCCGCCGCCCCTGCCCTGGCCAGGCGCCCTCTGCTCAGGGCCTCGCCAAGGGCCGGCAGCCGCCGGAGCCTGGGGCGCCGGGTCCTCTCAGGCCACGGTGTGTGGCGCCACGTGTGGCACCGGCATGCCCGCCCGCTTCTGTTCTCTTGGCTCCTCCCCCAAGCGTGGTGCGGGGCGATCCCCTCGGCCCAGACCCCCTCAGGACGGCGCGCCATGCCCCGTGGGCATGGGGCCCCCCAGGTGCCTCCATCTCCCACTCCGTGCAAGCGGGAACCCTGCGCTCATTCCCCGCGTGCCCGCGCAGTCCCGGGAGCCCGTGCAGGACCCACCTGGGACGCGAGGCCTCCGGCCTGGGCCGGGTCTGTGGATCGCGCGGTGCTACCTGCCTGTGGCTCCCCGGGGTGGCCCCGGCTCATGCGTTGCCATCGCGTCCTGCAGGGCGCCCTCCTCCCACGTCCCGACTAAGTTGTGCGCGCATTTGGGCGCGTGACCGTTACCAAACGGTGCTGAGCCACGGAGAGGGCCGGGAGGTGGCCCCCTGGCGTCGACCCCTTAGGCAGCCTTGGGCCAACCTGCTCGCATCCCGTCTGCACACAGCTCAGAGACCGTGTGTGTGCTTGCCTGGCCTCGGCCCTGCGTGCGGAGCGGCACGTCCTGTTCCTTTGCGCTTTTCCCCTTAAATCTCATCTGTGTTTCCTGGAAGTCACGGCTCCCCAGCCCACAGCGCCCCCTCCTCCCGGGGCCATGCGCCGTGCTCCACGCTGGGCGGTGCTCCACGCTGCGCCGTGCTCCACGCTGGGCGGCGCTCCACGCTGGGCGGCGCTCCACGCTGCACTGTGCTCCAAGCTGGGCGGCGCTCCACGCTGCGCCGTGCTCCACACTGGGCGGCGCTCCACGCTGAGCCGTGCTCCACACTGGGCGGTGCTCCACGCTGAGCCGTGCTCCACACTGAGCTGTGCTCCATGCTGGGTGGTCCGGGGCTGTGCCGAGGCCCGAGGCCCGTGTGCGGCTCCTTCCACCTCAGCCTGGTGACCCGCTGGGGGTTCCCAGAGCTGCGACTTCGGGGTTAAGCTGCGTGTGTGGCTTTGTTAGGTGATGCCCAGCCCCCGCCCCCCGTGGAATTTGCTGCAGGGAAGGGGTGCGCCTTCGCCACCTCCGCCGGCTGGAGCGTGACGGGTCGGTGTCTGGGTCTCCCATCCGCGCTGCTTAGACATGCGTGAGCGTGAGACTTTTTCACACGTTCTGGGCCATTTTTACGACTTTTCTGGTCAGTGGTTCGTGCCTCTCGGCCTTGGTGGTTTGGATTCCGTAAGGAGCTGCCCTTGCAGCCGCGTCTGCACGAGTGCACGGGGGTCTCCAGCGTCTCTCAGCTTCCTTCCGTTTCGCTCTTCTCCCCGTTGCTCCTGATCAGAGGTTGGTCTGTCTGTCTGTGTTACTCATCCCCAAAACAGGAAGTCGGTTTAGGCACGAGAACTTCTGTGTTTCAGTGCAGGGACCTGTTACCATTCTAGTGACTTTTCCCACCATTATGTGCTCCTTCCTTGTGTTTCCTCTTGGGTGGCTATGTTCTTTTTTTCTTTATGAACCAAGAACTATGAAGTCATTAACTTTCATTTAATTTTTACTGATAAAAGCGTTAGGGCGGTGAATTTTTCTGATTGCTGCTCTAAATACTCTGTAGATCGTGCTACGCAGAGCTTTTTCCGTCATTGTTTTTAAAAATCCTGTGATTTCAGTTTGGTTTTCCCCTTTCACCGGAGTCAGCCATGGAGCTGCCTTTCTGCTCTTGGCTTCGGCCTCGCGGAAGTTGCCGACGTCGCCTTTGTGACCTGATGTACGAGCAGATGTGACTGTGCACGGGTGTGGGGTCCACCCCGTCACGTCCACTGGGCGGGCAGCGATCAGCTCTCCCTCCCTGTGTTTGGGTTCTCTGCATTTGCTCTGTGCATTCATGAAGTCTCCCACGATGGTCTCTCTCGGTGTGTGCTGCGGGCGGCGCTCCCTGGGTGGGGGCTGTGCTCCCGGTGCCGAGACGGTCAGGAGCCGGGTCCCGTCGGGGCTGTGCCTCCGGAGTCGCGAAAGGCCCGCTGTCGCGTTTGATGCTGTGGGACTTGAATTCTGCTTGGTCCGCTCCTGTTCTCTGTTAGTCCTGTTTTTGAGGCCTTTGTCCATTTTTTGTTTTGTTTTCAGCCTTTCAGTGTTACTTGTGGGCGTTTCTCTTGTCAACAGCATGTAGTTGGGTCTCGTGCTGTGAGTGAAATGAAAACCCTTTTTCTCTTAGTAGGTGAGTTAAGTCCGTTAATACTTACCGACATGACGGGTTGGTTTGCTGGCAAGCCTGTCATGATATTTCGTAATTATGTATGTTTTGTATTGGTTGTTCCTTTCTCTACGAGACCCATATTTTCCCCCTTTGATTGAGATATTTTATTCTGAATTTAGAAAGATTTTATTTTCTAGCGATTGCATTTGTATTTAAGCTTTTCAAAATGTCCTTAAATAACTTGCTTTTTAAACTCTTTACTCTCTGATTCATCAGTTCTTTCTGGTATCCATTAATACTCGCGCATGGCTTAGGCAAGAACGACCTGTGTATTCATCTCAGTTTTCCAATCCTTCCTCCTCCGTCTCCCTGTTTTGGTTGAATCATTTCTGCTTGGTCCCAGTACGGCACATTCCCACCTCAGTCTCTCTGCCTGATCCCACCTTTATTATAGTCTCTTCCTTCCTGCAGTTTGGCATCGCTGGGCGAGAACTGCAGGGGGTGGTCAGGACATAGCCACCTTCGTCCTCAGCCACCCCGAGGTCAGCAGCGGGCCCTCGGATCATTCTGGGAGGCTTCAGGGCCTTAGCGTTCAGCAGTTTCCATTTTAATCTTCGAGAACAGTAGACTAGCCCGCTACACCCATGGTAGAAGCTTCCTTCAGTAAATAAATCCATTCCGTGAAAAAGCCAGCGTGGTCAGCACCCAGGACACGGTGCTGACCGTGAGGGAAGGCGGCTTCGCCGGGGGCTGGGGCCGCGGAAGCCGGGGCTCGCGAGCGGGCCCTCGTCGGCATGGAGGATGGCTCTGTGGTTTCCCCTCCTGAGTGTGTGGGGAGGCAGACCACGGTGCGAACTCTCCCAGAGGTTATCTGCTACGGGCCATGTGTGCAGCTTTCAAAACAAGTAAGTCAGCGCCAGCAGTGGTGAGGCTGAGTGCAGCCGATGGCGGTTACCCCTGCACGACAAGCGTGGCGTCGCCTCCTCGACGCCCCACGAGCTCCCGGCCCCACGGGGTCTGTGTTGGCAGCTGAAGTTTTCGGGAGGAAACGCGATCAGCCTGCGGGCGCGTCACACGGTCTCAGGTGAGGCTCTGTCTCTTCCAGAAGCGGGCCTGCCGGCGGGTGGAGCCAGCCACACCTGAGCGGGCCGGCCCCCCGGGGAAGGCGGGCGTCCTGGCATCCTGGAGCCCTGAGGAGCGCGGCCCCCCTGCCCCGAGGCCGGAGGGCGGCCAGGGCCGACTCAGCGCTGCGGTAGGTGCCTGCCCCGACCAGCCGGGACCGCGCGCAGGGGTCATACGGGCGGTGTCGCGGCCTCGCCCTGAGCATCTGCCCTGTGGTTCGTTCTCAGGCCCCTCAGCCCGGCGGACGGAGCTCGGCCCAGCCCTGCCCGAGGTGCGCTGCGGGGGAGTCTGTAAGTACCTCGGCTTCTTCTCCTCACGTGAAACGTAGTCCGTGGCGCGAGGCCGGGACACGCCGTTGTGTCTCCAAGGGTCCGGGCGGGGAGGAGTAGGCCTGGGGGGGGTCCCGCTTGCTCGTGTCTGCCGGGGTGCAGACGCCTTGCTCCTGGCTCCACTTGGAAGCAGAAAGTCTTGGGACCTGAGGCTGGGTGCAGGGTGGGGGCGCCCCCGCAAGGGTGGCTGGCGTCACGAGGGCACCTTGGCGAAGCACCTGACCTTTGCTGACCGTCCACTTGGGAGCCACCTTGCTGTCCCAGCTTGCCTGCATGCTACCCTGAACGTCCCGCGAGCCGCGGCTGCGCCACCGGCCCCAGTCCAGGGGTGGGCGTCGTCAGGGCCGGGGCCTTCTGCGCCGGCCACAGGGTGACGCCGCGGGTGGGTAGTCGTGCGCAGCACAGCTCACAGCTCTCGCATGGAGATTGTCCTGAGAACCAGGGGAGACGCCTTTTTGATAACCTCTAATTCTTGTGGGTTTTCAGTTTTAAATTTGGAATCCTAATATCGCAATAAAAAATAGAATTGTGTTCACTTTCCGCGTAGAAACCAGGGGTGAGATTGCCCCTGGGGGTTTTAGAGAAAGGTGTTGCTGGTTTTGATAAACAGAAGGTTGAGTCCACTGTGTGGTGGGCGCCGCGGTGGTAGGCGGTGACTTGTTTTCATCCCAGACCTGAGCGGGGTGGCAGTCGCAGGGAGAGCCTCCGATGAACGCCTGTGGTGCGAGAACAAAGCTTAGGGTCAGACTCCCTCGGGGAAAGCTGGAGCGCCCCGGGTTCTGTGCCTCTGTGGTAGGGTCTGCACGCTGCACCCTGACTGCCAGGGCCTCCACCCGCGTGCCTGGGTGCTCCCTGGGTGCTGCTTGGGTGCTGCCTGGGTGCTGCTTGGGTGCTGCCTGGGTGCTGCAGTGGGGCTGGCCGCGTGGCGAGTGGAGCGACCGCGCCTGCTGTCCTGCGCCCGGCCGCGGGGCGCGGCGGTGCTGGGGTCTCTGGGTGCCCAGAGGCTGGTTCTGGCGTGAAATGGCCCCAAGGGAAAGGATTTGGCCTAAGCAGCTGACGGGGTCGTCTTGGCTCGTGCTCTGTTCACACGCGCCTGCTGGGCCAGGGCCCCCCTGGCGGCCCGGCTCGCCTCCGCCTCCTGTCGCGGGAAATGGATCCGAGAGCAGAAAACCTGTATTGACACGTAAACGCCTCGCTTCTTCCTCGACGCGATGCGCCTTCCATCTAAATTTCAGAGACTGACTTTAAAAGGCAGTTTCCCTTTATTTGTAGTTACTCTCAATAAAATTTCACCCAGGCTGGGGTGATTTAATATTTGCACCCACTGTTTCTGGAAGTCTTATGTAAAGAGAGATTGAAATGCGGCGTGCGGAGTCGCGCCTCCTGGTATTTGAACAGCCCGGCTGCATATATATCTTCTTTCTCTAATAATATGGCCAGTTCCTCCCCTAAGCTTTTAAAATCAGGAGACGCTATTTTTGTATTCTAGAACATCAGAAGGTTCAGTGTTAAATAAAAAGCAAACAGTATTTTTAGAAGCAGGAGATCCCGGGGAGGGGCGCTGCGCCGCGGGCCTCTGGCGGCAGCTCGTCCAATTTGAGAAGACTTCATCAGGGCGGGCGCCACCCCGGCCTGCCCCGGACTAGGGCAGCGCCTGCCCGCGAGGCTCGGGAGCAGGGACGTCCCCGGCCCCTCGGCGCCCCGACGGTGTGTGTGCGCGTGTGCGCGTGTGTGTGTAAGGACAGCAGACAGGAGCGTGCAACCCTCCATTATCTGAAATCGTGAAAGAGCCAGAAGCTCACTGTGCAGACAAGCATTTAATGTGTTGGGATGGGACGCACGGAGGAAGCAGACAGGGTGAAAAAAGACTTGGAGGATTGAAAAAGGAAACGTCCAGAAGGGACGGGTCACTGGAGGTAAGGAGAGAGGAAACCCCAGGCTGGACGCGGGGAAAGACAGGATCCGTGAATTACAAGACGGGGCCACCCGGGGCGCGTCAGGAGGTGACGCGGGCAGGTGTGACGCGCGCGCCCCTGCCGGCCCCGTGCTCACGCGGGAGCGAGCCTCGCCCGCAGGTGCTGCCCAGGCCCGACGTGCGGGGCGGCCCGGTGTGCTCCCCACCGGGAGGGTCCATTCCCATTCTCTGCTGCTTTCTCCTCTAGGGACACTTCAGCCACACCGAGGCTCTCTAGAAGCCGCGTGCTGGGAAACGAAGCCGCAGCTGTGGTCTGGAACCCTCCCGGCGACGACAGTGGCTCCTGACGGCGGCCGCTGCCCAGCTGTCCGGTGGCGGCAACCAGCGCGCAGGTCGTCCCGTCCTCGGCCAGACCCAGCGGGAGCCTGGCGCTTTGGGACGCCGCCGCTGCCCTCGCCACCTGCGCAGCGGCTCGCTCGGGGCGGTCAGCGCGTGCCCTGAGGAGGACGCCCGGGCCGCGCCCGCCTGTCCCTCGGTCCACTCCAGACCCCGCGCAGCTGCTCCGGGGTGAGCCAGGGCTGCCTGCATCCTCTTTTCAATCAAAAGAATATTTTTATATTGAAAATGCTCTATCATCTTACGCTGAATTTTGCTAAGTGCCGTGTTCAGTCTGTCCCGGGCCTGTACGGACCCTTTTCTGTTAAAATGGAAATTCTCACTCTGTGTGGTCGCTGTGCATCTGCCTGTGGCCGGCTCTGAGCGCTGCTGCCACGCCCGGGCACCTCGTGGGCAAGCCCGACCCGTCGCCCACGGAGCTTTGCTCAGGGCCCCCCGGGCTGGGTCCCCTGACCGCCGCCGTGCTCGGCGTCCTGGGAGCCGGCGTTCAGGTCCGTCAGCGCGGGGGGCGTCGAGGGTGTGCAGCGGCTAGTGCTTGCTTTCTCCGAGATGGGGTGCGCACCTTCATTTTCCCAAGAAATGAAAATTCCTCACCCCACGAGTCTGTGCTCTCTCCCCCGTCCACGCGGGGGGCAGGTGTTCTGTCGCCGGGTCTCGCTGCGGGCCCAGCTGCTGCCCGCCGCTCGGGAGCTTGCCTGTGGGGCAGAGCCCCGTGGTGCTGGCCAGGCCTCCCGGCGGGGCCTCCGCTCCCCACGGGCAGCCTCCAAGTCGTCGGGCGTCCTGGGCGTGGGCGCCGGCTGGGCCAGGTGGTCGGCGGGGGGCTGTGCGCTGCTGGGCGGGCCGAGAGCCCAAAATGGGATCATGGCTCTAGGCCGCGGGCTTTGTTTTCCCGTCAGAAGAGGAGGAGAAGGTCCTGGTGCGGGGCGGCGGCTCTGCCCTCAGCCCGGCTCCTCTCGGTCCCCGTGTGCCCTCGTCCGTCCTCAGGGCGGGGGCAAAAATGCCAACACGTGCCGTAGTCATTTTCCAACGTTTGTGCGGTTTCGAGACTGACAAATCAGAACCCTCTTTCCAGAAAGCCCGATCCGGGCAGCTTCGGGAGGCAGCCAGCGCCATGGAATGGCCGCCCCTTCCCAGCACCCTCCCGTCCACGTTGGCTTGGCCCTAGAGCCACACGGACTAAAGCAAAGTGGGCGAGTGAAAATGAAACACGGTCTCTGCCGCCCGCCACTCGGAGGCGACCGAAGCCGACATTGTGAGCGGCAGCCGCGCGAGCCCGCGGGACCATCTTCACGGGCCTTTCCACCGACCTCCGCCCAGCCCTGTCTGCCCACCCCGGCCCTCTGCTGCCCCCCCCGCCCCCCCCCGGCACCACCAGTTTCTTCTCAGGGCCTAAGAGTCATTTCTGTTGTTTTCTCCGTCACAAACGCGCCTTTCGTGCTGCCGTCCCGGGCTCACTCGGGGAGCAGCGTCCCGGCGTGGACGGAGGTGACGGCAGCACGGACGGGCTCGGTGCCCTGACCCGCGCCCCGGAAAGCCTTGAAATGGCGCCTGGTCTAGGATGCACCTCACAATGACACAAACAGTCCAGCCCCGTCACAGCACAGCCCCTCAGCTCTTGCCATCCCAGTGAGAAACGGCCGCGCCCGCCGGCCGCAGGGGAGGCTGCGCGCCTGGGGGGGGCAGGACACCGGGCAGGCGCAGGGGCACGCGCAGGGACACAGCCATGGACACAGGTGCACACGCAGATGCACGCACCTGGCAGGGCAGTCACTGCCCCCCCCCCCGCCGTGGAAAAGCACAGGGGCCCGAGACTAGGCTCTGGGGGTGCTGCGGCCCCTCGAGGCGCCCGGGGCCAGTGGAAGTGGCCCTGGTGTCCGGGGCTGGCGGCGCGTGGCGACTTGCAGGGGCAGCTTTGCTTATTTAATCGGAGCCTGCCCGGGCTCCCATCGGAGGGAGGCTTCCCCGTGAGACCACCGCTGTTTGATCTATTTTTGATTAAAACGTAAAAATTAAAAATTAAATCAAATGGTAGTCGAAGTCCTCGGGGAGAACACACTCGGGTTACGGAGATTCCCTGCAGTCACCTTGAGACTGTTCCCGGGCTGGCGCCTCTGCGGGGGTCCTTGCATGTCCCACCTAATTAAAGCGAGTCTTGGGGGGCAGCACCGAGTGCCTGGCTTCCCGCGTGTGGACGGCGGGGGCTGCACCCCGAGCAGGTGCCTGCGGAGTCACTGGCCGAGGGGCGGCCCCTGCCAGGCGCAGAGGAGGCCCGGGCCTGGCGGGCGCAGCTGGGCTCCTGGGAAAGCGCTGCCCAGCGCTAGCCGGCCCTGCCTTGCCTCACAGGCTGCAGCGCCCGCCTTGGAGACCCGGAAGCGCGTCTGCTGGGTCAGGTGGCGCCTCCCAGGCCCACCGCAGAGGGCTGTGCCCAGGGCCATGGGCTGCCGCCACCTGCCCCACCCGCTGGGCATGCGTGGCCGTGTGTGGTGGCCTCGCCCACCTCGTCTGCATCCACCCACAAGCCCCCTGCTCTAAATAAAACGCCGCGGACTGGAAGCTGCGGGCTGTTCTGCCCCCGCGCCCAGCACCGCCAGTGGGGTCAGCATGGCTGAGGGACCCACCTGGCTCGACGGGTACAGGTGCCAGCCGGGCGGCAGTCTCCCACGCCTGTGGCCTCGCCACCCCTGCCGTGGGCCTCGGCCCCACTGCACCGCTTCCTCTCAGTGTGATGCTTCCCCGCAGGGGCACGCAGAGCCGGGGCCTGGTGGGGTGGGGGATGCTGACCCTGCTGCGGGGAGGATGTGATGTGCCCGCGAGCCACACGACCCACTTCCTGTCCCGCTGCTCCGCACACAGCATCTGGGGAGACCCGAGGGCCCGCGGGCGTCACGGGGCAGGGGGTAAATGAGGTGACGGTGGCCATGGGGCTGCGCCGGCGCCCGGACACTGGGCCGCGGACCCGGCCTGAGGATGCTGCGGCTGCCAAGTATCCCAGCCACCCCCCCACCCCCACCCCCGTGCAGACTGCGTGGCCCCAGGGCCCTGCTCGCCCGTGAGAAGGAGAGGCAGGGGTGGGGGCCCTTCCGAAGCCTCTCACTGTCCAAGATGCCAAGAGATGGGAGCCTCCAGCCCTCCTACTGCTGACTTGGGAGCCGACTCCCTGGGAGAGCCAGCTGTCCCTACTGCGCTGAGGGCGCCCAGGGGCTCTGGGGCCAGCAGGCATCCCCGCTGTGCTCTCTGAGGGTCTCCCTGGGGCCCACGCAAGCGCCCGGGAGGCCCTGCGATCCCCGTGGTGAAGGCACCCTCATCCTGACGCAGGCCAGGAGCAGCCGGGCAAGTGGCTGCTGGGCCCCAGGGGCCGGAGCCATACAGGCTGGGGTGGCGGCTCCCTGGCCTGTGTGCAGCTGAGGGCCTCCCGGAAAGCGTGGTCTTCACCGGGAAATTGGGGCTCTCCGGCAGGCTGGGATGAGTTGGCCGCTCTCTGCGGCATCCCCCAGGCTCCTCCCGGGTCCTGCTGGCCAGCAGGGAGCCCCAGGCTCTGGCCCTGAGCGCAGAGACCCGTCTGTAGCTCATCGCTTCCCCCTGGGCTGCGCGCTTAGCCTGGGGTGAGGGAGCGAAGAGCGGGCCCCAGGGGGCTCCGCCTCTCTGGCTGGCGGCAGGCCGGGCCTGGCGCATGATCGGTGGCAGCCTGGTCCGAGTGTATGAGCTGCAAGAGCCAAGCCAAGGTGGGCACCTGGCTCAGCAGAGGGGATGGGCTTGGGCAGCAGCAGCAGGGCACCCTCCAGGCAGCCAGGCCTGGCCCACACACCCCTTCTGCCCTGGCGGGCCGTTCTGTCCCGTCGAGGAAGCACTGCTGAACAAGTGCCCCCGCGTAGCGCCCTGCTGCTGGGAGGCCGGTCCTGGGAAGGCTAACACAGCTGGGCAGGCCTTGGCCGTGACTCCCGGCGCCCTGATGGGGGCCACCCCTTGGCAGGAGCCAGCACCCAGGACGGGACAGCAGTTTCCCCTGGGGGGTCACGCGGAAGCAAGGGCCCCGCCGCAGCCGCAGGGCCAGGGAGCTTCCGTGCCCCTCTACCCGAGGGCGGCCCGTCTTCCCGAAAGGGCCACGGCAGGGCTGGGTTCCTCCGGGCCAGGGCAAGCCTGAGCCGGCGCTCCCGGCAGGGGGGCCCTGGGGCTGCTGTCCCCGCGGCCTGCTCGCCCGGGACCCACACCCTCTCCACTCGGCCGCCCGCGCCTCCCCGTCAGGAAGGAATTAAAGACTACATCTTAGGTGGGAAGCAATTGTGGAGGGTGGAAGTTTCTGGCCAGGCAAATAAATTGGATTTAAGTATATTACAGTCATAATCTCTTTCTGCCTCTCTCCAGACGGTCTCTGCGCGTGGAAAAATGAGAACGTATCCGCAGACGGAGCGTGACCCGAGGTAGACGCCTGCCAGAGCCGGGCTTTCAATAACATGAGACAATAAAGCTCAGGCCTCTAACCTGCCGCAATATGGTCCGAGTATAAAGGGCTTAGCTGCTAATAAAAGGGAAGGGGCTTCCCCTCGTATTTGAAGATCCGGACCCCCCAGAAGGACACTTCATAAAGATCAGAACGGGTTAGCCAGGATCACGCAGACTCGACGCCCCTTGTTGACCGATCGTCTGACAGTTGTCACTGTGGGTCTGGTATTAATAAGTCCCGCGGATTTCCTTGGGGCATTTTTGTCCCTGTAATTGCACATCTTCGTGTCGTGACCCTACTCGGGGCGCCACCTCGGTTACAGTTACCTGATGGCGCTGCGCGAGGGCCTCCTCCCTGCCGGGCGTGCCCACCGGCCTGGCAGCTGCTCAGCGGGGAGGGCAGGCTCCTAGGACGCCGGACACAGCCCGCCGCCCCCGCCCTCCCCCGGGCCAGCACCCGTGTCTCTCAAGGGCGGTTGCTGGGAGTCGGCGTCGCGAGCATCACCCTGGGGTGGGTGCCGGTCACACACCTGCCCGGGCGCCGGCCGGTCCCCAGCGAGGTCGCCGAGGCCAGCGGCGGTGCCTGCTGCCGGGACGCTGCCCCGGGTGGGGGTGCTGGTCGGAGGCCCGGGGCTCGGTCAGAAATGTTCGTTGATGGCAAAGTGCGAGCGGTGAGGATCGCAGCGGCCAGCAGCCTGCCCGCAGGCCCTTCCCCGCGCGCCACGAGGCCGGGCCCCGCCACGCGCCTCACGCTCCTGCCCAGGCCGCTGGCGGCACCGGGGCTGCCCGGGACCCGGCCTTGCCGGCCGCCCTTCTGTATCGTTGCGCTTGAAAGTGCCGCCGCAGCCACGGTTCCCCAACTGTCAGCTCTGCTCACTCCCGGGGACTCCACCCTCCAGCGGGCCCCGGACGTGCCTGCCCCCTTCCATCCAGGCCGTCTCTGCGGGCTCATTGCCGGGGCCCCCTCGAGGGGAGACCGCGTACGGGAGGCTGGGGGCCCTGAGCGGCCACCTGGGATCCCTCCCAGCCCCGTCCGCTGGGTCGGGGGCAACACAGGACACGCGTGCTAGGTGGGCTCAGGCCTCTCACTGCCACGCCACTCCGCGGGGGTCGTGGGGCCATTGGGCTTCTCCCTTCGGGTGTCGCTGCAGGCCGTGGAGACGGGGCTGCTCACAAGAGCCGCCGGCCGTGAGGCCGCTGCAGAGAATGGAGCCACTACGCGTGGAGGCTCTAGGCAGGGTCCACAGAACCATCTGG